TTCAGATGGAACAAGGGTTAAATGGTGCGATATTGGAAGTGATTTGACTGATGTAGCGGGTTCAGATCATGCATATGGAGAGAGTCTGTATGCATATGGACGTCTTTTATGATTACAGCCGGTGGGAAATCTAGCTCTGTAATTTAATATACATTTTAATGCAACAATTCATTTTGGTTTCGTGGAATTCCACCACCAATTTCAGGGAGTCGGTGCATTTCAATACTGTAGCTATACATTTGAAACCGGTGAATAATAGTATCACAAAGGTACTTTATTCATATCGCACACATAGCTTTTTAACAATTAACTATAGCTTTATTAAAGGGTTAAGACTGAGGTGCTTGGTGCTTACAAACTGAGCCTTAACTTTAAAATGGCAACCACTTTGACTTTAGTGAATCTCTTGATAATAAACAAATCAATATAATAAATGATTATTACATTCATTGTTGAACAGCAATTTTAAATTTCTGCTTTCATTGGCATTGTACTGTATGTTCTATAATAATAATAATTAACTATTGAATAATAAATTATGTTCATTTTTAGAGCAAAGGTTTAATAATTGACTCCAGGACTTTCCTGGTTAAATAAAAAAATTATTAGCAATACATTCACCAACTGCTTTGTAATAAAAGCACTATAAATAAAAGTATTGGGATGAAGCAACTTTCTTATGTTAGCCCATCATGCAATCATCACAAAATCACTGCTCAATAATGTAAACACAATAATAATAGTTACAAAATTATATACAGCGTACATTTTGGTGAAAACTTGTAACCCTATAAGATTGTCCTTAGGTCTGAAAAGTTCACCACCTAAACAACTTCAAACCCAGTCAGTACAACATAACGGCTACAATAAATTGCTCCACAAAATCTATAACTTCAGTTATAATGAGGTCAAATACCCCAAGCACGTATCTAGTCTCCAGCTTTTCCATTGAGCTGATTTGTTCCCAACACCAGGGATTGTTGTTTTTATCTCTTCACGCTGTGGTGTTAAAACCTGCAGACGAAGTTGGCTGGTGATAGTGGGACTACCTGCCGAGCGCCTCAGCAAAGGGCTCGGAAATAGGCAACTCATTCACCACATACACGCATACATATACACACAGATATCTGACAGCCGGGCTTCACACTCCACTGACACCCTCACTGTCAAAAAGGAGCTCTCTGATTTATTACAGCCCGCCGCGTGATATATGTCAAACATGAACGTCCTAATGGTGAATTTTCAAAAATAAGTGATTTACTGTTATTTCCGTCCAAAGGCTGAGTCAGTAGAGCATAAATCTCGATATAGATTTTATAGGTCATTGTGTTGACGTAAGTACAAAGTACAAAGGGAATTTGTGCACTGTTGGCAAAATTGGTGTTTTTAATCTTAAGAAACACAGTAACTTTTAAGTGGAAGAAGCATAAATTCATTCAAAAAGGTACAATCAGTGAAGCTATCCATCTTATTTCTAACTGTTTACATGAATGGATTGGATACATATATGATTTGAATGCAAACGCTTGTAATGTATTGAATTCATAAAACAAAATCTTTAATTTAGTTATACATACACTAGGTTGGATTTGGAGCAAGATATAGTTTTAATACTATTTCTGTCAATGCAAAACATGAAGATCCCTCCACAGTGAATGACAAATGCACTGTATTGATTGAGCATGTGCAGATCAGCTGGTACCTCATAATTAACGACTTAATTTTATTTCATCCTGCCGACAACAATTGACTTCCATACATCAACCCGGCAATGCCACGCAATAACAGCCCCCAATCCTTGTGCGAGAAATATCTTTGTTAAAATGTTCCTTTATCTGGAATAGAAGTGACAAAAACATTGTGAGAAGTGAGAAAAAACTCATTCCGCCATAAACGTTCCGCGTAGCTTAAGTCAATACATTTTAGCACTGACACCTACCCCCCTTTCTCCTTAACCACCCCCAGACCCAATTGCACTCCTCTATTCCATTCTCTCCATGGATCTATTTCGCGGTGCAAGTCAGGTTCATCCTCTGGCTTCAGCCATTGAAAAAAGGTCAAGCAGCCTAGCAGAATGGCAATAACGCCCCTGAAATGGTACCATCAGTGGAACATGATTGATCAATTGAATTCCATAGCACAGAAAAATGTGGGATTAAGTAGAGTATTATACGCACAATGAGTTGAGGCATGATGTTCATTCCAAGTTCATTTCGCCTCCCTCCTCTGCCGCCGGATCAGGCAATCAATAGCGGCCTTGCATATCATATATCACCGCCGGCTCGCCCAGGAGAGAACATAATCTGCTGCAAATTTAGAATGACAGATTTGTACGGCTACGAGCTAAAGCCCTCATCCGCTGTCGGTACGGTTAACGGGAGCGGGGAAAGGGAGGGTGAAGGTGGGGGTCCGGGAGGGGACGTTTTTAGGAGGCCCACGGTTTTCCCCAGGGGCTTTTGTAGGACAGTGTGAGAGTAATGTGGAAAAGGGGTTGAGAGTTGGTGGCTGATAAATAACAACCTTTTTTTTTTTTTTGCATACTCATTGTAAAAGTGTAACTGATTAAGGTTAATCACTGGACGCATTGGGGGTAAAAGGGTTTTATTTGGAAGAAGTGAGATGGTAAAGTCTTAGGCCATGTAAACCAAGTTAAAGTTAGGTAATTTGTTACGGCAATGATTCTTATATTGTCTGTGGTGTATTCTATGGCATCTCACAGGGGTCCATTGAATTAACTGTATTCTATTAACTCATAGGACCAATATGACTTTTGTTGCTTACTATATAAATATAAAGTTTGGCATCAGTTACTCGTAAAGCTACAGTTACATGTGTTTATAGGGTTATTACTTTGAGATCCTTTGTACATCTTTAAGTGAGTTCATATTCAGATTCAGATTAATTTTAGTTGCTATTTGCAGTAAAACTACATTGGAATACATTTGCAAAAGTCCCCAGAGTTCCCAAGACAAGTACATAAATATAACAAGGATACATTAAAGGATACATATTAAGTTACAACAGTGTTCATCAAAAACTATAGTTGTTTTTAGATCCAGTCATACTAATATCAGGAACTTCTGGCTCAATATAGCATAACTCCCTTCAAGGGAGGGAGTTATGCTATTGGCCTGCTAGGGTAGCATGTCAATTGCATTTTTACCTTGTAACTTGTTTCACTATATAATATCTACTTAAGATACTATTTCACATTCTAATACATGACATGAGACATTGTAATAGTCTTAGTATCATTTATAATGGCAAAAATACTGCATAATAGTATAGGAAGTAGTGGTAAATTGATATTGTCAATCTTTGTAGCTGCTTGAATAACATGCATAGAGCTCTATTTGAACACGAAAGAGGACACTCCAATCCAATCCACAAAGGAAGACTTCCCACAAACCACGTATTATCAACCTTGCACCACAATTTGGTTTTATAATCACATTAGATTTTGCAGCCACACTCCAGGACCCTTTGTGATCCATATTTGTTTAGAAAAAAACCAAGAGAAAGCACAACAACGAAAGACTGTACCTTTATACACCATGTCTTTCCAGCAAACCAAGGCAGAGGAGCATCAGCGGCTCTTTCCACGCGGGCTGGACTTGATAGGGTCAGGGATCGTCTGCACACGGCGGACACTGGCTCATTTGTTTATATAGAGTGTGAGCGAGTGAGGAAATGCATACGTTTGCCCCGGATGGCCCTTCCTCACCAGGCCCTTAGTATCATCCCTGTACGCTCCATTCTGCTCCCCCGGCAGACAGGCAATATATGGGGGGATGGAGGGCCAACGGGAAGGGTAATACGGTGGAGGAAATGGTACAGTTAAATAATGGCACTCCGCTGGCAGAATGAAAGCCTTCTAGACGTAATCGCCGGTCCCCCCGCTTTCCTTCTTTTACAAGTATATATTTGCGACCGAGGTAATCCATCAATTACCATAGGCCTATCGCATGATGAGGGGGCTGATGGCGGGCTGCGAGGAGAGGTGCATCATGGGAGCACTGGCAGGAGGAGACAGTTGAGATCAAAAGACGAAGAGAGAAGCCACCCATTCTCTCTAAGTCTACGGTGTATGTGCTATCACTTGCAGCGATTAAATATGGCTGCTGCTTCTGGCTCCTTGATGGAAGTGGATAACTAATTGAGAATAATTGATGAAAGGTGATAAAGATTGTGTTGCAGTGAGATCTTCAGTGTCACGTTTTGGCAAGGGTTAGTAGTTTCCTGCGTGCATTTTAGAGCGTCAATTACAGTTTACAATGGGCTATGCAATTTTAAGATGTGTGGGGTGTATTCATCAAGGTGTAATGTGTTATATAGTTTCTATGCTTTCAATGTTCTGAACATAATGACGGAAAGTAAAAGTAGAACCATTGAGTTGGTTGATCATTTTACTTTCATTTTCAAAAAAGAAATATATGTATGTTCAATACTGGTTACTCCAAACTTGTTGGGTTGTACTTTTCATCATTCAATTCCAGTGTATTTCTGTTTACTGTATGCTGTATTTGTAACTGAATGCCTACTGCAAGTACTTAAGTAGACAGTTGGCCTCAATGATTGTAAATTGCTCGAGGAGGGTGTGCCACCTCCTCGAGATCTCTGAAGGTCTATTTTTCGCATACTCTGAAATTTTCAGAGTATGCCTAAATGAATCAACCACCCTGGTACCAAGCTGGTAACTAGTACAGGTCAGATATGTGGAGAGGAACCGTGAGAATGCAGGAAAATCACCTGTTATTAAATCAGTGCAAGTTAGAAACATTTTGTGCAACTCTGTGGAACACTTCAAGTAATGTCGACCACCAACTCTTTGGGGTCGACCTCTACAGAAAAACAAAATAGTTCAATAAGTAGCAGTCCCCTCTAAATTCTCAGACTTGGAAAACAGCCTCTTTCGCTGTCAACAATTTGGATCCATGCCCTAAAATGTTCACCTCTCCCCCACCCCCTCTTCCCCTTTTCCTTCTCGCCCGCTGTGGTAGATGGCTCGGATGGCTCGGGTCCAGGCAGTGACTCGCAGGGCAGTGTGGAGAGTCTAAGGAAGCACCTGAGAGCGGACGCCTTCACTCAGCAGCAGCTGGAGGCTCTGGACCGGGTCTTCGAGCGGCCATCTTACCCCGATGTCTTCCCCACTTCAGAGCACATCAAGCCCGAGCAGGTTAGACACAAACTTCATTTCATGAGGCTTTTATACAAGGCCAAGTTGTTAAAAGTTTTTACCTGGTATTTGGAACAAATAATCCTGGGATATTGTTGGGATCTTATCAGACTACAGGTCAACAGGTACAATATGTTGATGTTGAGTCTCCTCGTTTGATATAGAAGTCACTATGACCTAAAGTTTTAAATCCATTTTTCTATAAAAGCATCCAAATGAACACAACTCTCTGACTAGGGATTCAAATGACCTCTTTCTCATATTGAGCTGGAAAAGGACATGAAGACACACTGAAATAGACTGTGCAAATTAGACTAACAGCAAAGGAGAGTAAATGTCCTCACATCCATCAGCATTGGCGTCTTGATAGAAGACGCCGTCAAGACAACACTTCAAATGATCGATGTGTGATAGTAACTTATGAGAAACAGATAAACACAAGCAAGTTCATCTCCCTGGTCTCATGCTCCAGCTCAGGGCCTATAAGCTACTACAGCGGATAACCTTTATTTACATTCATTAGACTGTTAAACAACAAGAGACTATTAATTCTTCCATTGAAACTCTATGTGAGTGCCGGTGGAGCCTTAGCTGTGGCCTAATTGAGTTCATTTTCATCTCTGCGCGATCGCGGCGAATTACAGCGGCGATAAATCAGGGGGACAGCCCCTCAGCCTGCTATACAGCCTCTAATGCAGCTAATTACCAAAGTGATTTCTACGGCAAGATCAATACCAAAACGAATTGGAAATGACTTGCAATCACAAAGAGTGCAGGAGAAGGTATTAAAAAGGCAAGACGAAGGTGGGGGAGGGAGAGAAAAATGGCGTCGGAATGGTCCAGAAAAATCAGTTTTAATTTAATGTAATATTAATCAGGCCGCTTTGCCCCGCTCACCGCCTTCCCTCTCGCTGTTTCCAGCGCCCCCCCTCCTTTTCTTAAACTGGTGAAAAGGTGGGATATTAGGCTATTAGGGGCTTGTCTGGTGTCTGCATCAAGGCATTAAAAAGCCATTTTGAAGAGGCCGAGCTGAATAGGCCTCATCCCTCCCACACTTCTGGCAGCCATGTGGTCAGGTCATTCAGGCCCCAGTGTGCCGCGCCACTCGCCCCCTCCTGCCCCCCCATCTCGCTCCATCCTTGTCCTGCGCGGAACCCAGCCCTGCCCACAAGTCCATCTGCATGACAAAAAAGTAACCCAGCGGAATAGAGAGGAACATCCAGCCTAGTGCCAGGGAACAGTTGTAAGCAGACAATTAGAGTTTATCTGGGATAGAGGCAGACAAGGCCGGGGTCAGCAGCCAGCCCCCAGTGGGACAACCCATTGGCCCATTGAGACAAACAGATGCACCCTGGCACAAACAGCGGGCAACACAAGCGCGCTTAGAGGGGTCAAGAAGTCCCATCCCATTACCAAACAGGATTTATCACATCTGCTAACACTGCACTGACCGGAGATGAAAGAGCAGGGGATAATGGACAGCCTTGTCTTGACCCCTCTTCAAGTTTGGAGTGCAGCACAATGAAGCCCCTTATCAGAAAGTACACACATGTATCAGGTTCTATTAAGCTAGTAAACATACTGTATCCAAATGTAAAATGTGTTTCATTCTGGTTTGTTTAGGCCCTATGCCAAAGTTAAATTCCTAAATAATAAATCAGACTTCAGAAATTCCCGGGCATTTTTAATGTTCACCTCAATCAGTATGTGAGTACTTTACAGAACTTTTATAGCCTAAAGCAAGTTTATGCGGATGGTATAACAACATTGAATGTACTTGTCCTTTTGCAGATTATCTGACTCGTAAATTCAATAGACTGCAGAATCAGTGAAATTAAGCAAATCCTAACAATGCTGAAGGGACATTTTGAACAAGCATCCACAATCTTTAGGGGCCAACATTGAATTAGCAGAATAGATTAGAATGTCTTGTAAGTATTAAAAGTTTAGGCCCTTGTCCAAGCATGTTTACTTCAGAGGACTGCGGGCTCTACAGCTGAAAAATCCTCATTTATGAAAATCAAAAAAAAAACTGATAACACAATAGTTATCTTTTACCTGCCAGATATCAACCTAACTTTAGAGGTCAGAGTAAAATATATGCAGACACAAACACAAAGTAACTGAATTTATAACACCACAATCCTTTTGCTACTGTAGTTACACATTTGTAGAACCTACAAGATCTGTTACATTTTGTAACACAGATGGCCTCTGTGACGCCAGAGTGAAGTTATAAACTAAAGGACATGTATAATTCTTCATCCTTCTCCTTGCGTACGACATCTGTACAACACACATATTCCAGCACATTACAATACAAAACTATTACACATAGAAGCACATTTATGATTCCTCTTGGCTGCCTGGCACAAAGGTTGATGCCGAGTTTGTTCGGTGCAGTTGAAAAAAGCCTCAGCACCACATGTCTCTCCTGTAACAAAGCCTTGAATGTCTCCTCCCTTGACTGGTCACAGGGATGACTGCAGTGGAGCACAAAGAACCAGCTGACACCCCGTCCCTTTCACGCCGCTCCCAATCCCACTCTCATCCTCACCGCTTTTCTTTACCCCTTTTCTGCAACCACACAAGCCCTAATGCATGCATACATCACAGGTCCGGCTAGGAAGCTCAGACAACGGGCCGGAATATTCAGCAGGAAGTACTTTGTGGACTGAATGGATCATAAACAGCTTTCCTAGAGTCACCGGGGGCCAGCCCAGAGACAAGCTTTATCCGCAGTCGGCTACAGAGAAAATCGCACGAATAGACAATGAATGAAACTGTTGGGAAGTGGTGGATGTCGTCATTGTGCTTCCTGGAAAAAAGCAATTACATGTTGTTGACAAAAGCAGCCATCTTTTTGCGTAGCTATGTTTTCCAAAAACGACACACTTAAATCATTTTTGTCAATTTGCGCCACAGAATTAGAGTTGCAACAGTAAACAAGACATATTTGGGAGTTTGGGTTGTGTTTGCGTGGTGTTCTTGCATGGGTAGTGGACAAAATAAGTTGATATTTTTTAGTTTTAGGATTAGAAAAGTACCACTAGATTTAGAAATATATATCTTATTAAAAATACTTGCAGTAGAAACTATAGAAAGTAGCAAAAAGACAATGCCAAATCCATTTTACATTTGTAAAGCACAAAAAACAGCTACTCAGAGGGCGTTATAGATTTTTTTGCCAACAGTAGAATTGAAAATCAAAAATGCTGCAGTCCTCACTTTCATTCCAACATTTCAAGCATCCTTATTGTTTACTACTAATTTCAAAGCTCTTTCCACAACTGTCAAAGATCAGAGGAAGTTTTTTCATCACCATAAGTCCCTCTGCCCAGGATTAAGATGAAACATAGAAAATCAAGTACATGCTCTGGAAGGCATGCTCTGGGCCGCAATAACATTGGATATTAAAAAGGAAAAGGATTACACTTCCTTCAAACTTTAAACACACAAACTTGGTCCAATGGGAAAGATCTGTCAAGCAGCAGGTTTTGTCTGTGAGGCTTCAGACAAACTAACACATTACCATGTTGTAACCACATTTCAACATCAAAAACAGACCTGACCATCCACACTGATATCAGGAACTTCCAGCAAAAACCTGTAACTCCGCCCCCTCTGTTTTAAAGCTTCTGTCTCAGTCCTGTAACAGTATGATGTAATTGTACCCCTATGACTTCTATGCAAGTTAAAGTTAAATTTTATTCTTTACAATCACATGGTAGTGTTTTGCAGCCGGTAATAGCGTTATTTACCCTCCATACCTGTTTCAAATATCATTATTAATAGTCAAAAAAATGTGTAATATTTCTTCTATAAGCGCATATTTCCTCATCTCACAATCTCTGACATATAACTTTCCCCATGTTTTTTTGTGACAGGCCAACGAGTACTCCCTGCCCTCTCTGAACGGCGGGCTGGAGGACGTGAAGCCCAGCCTCCCCACCAGCGCCAGCTCTGAACTGGCCTCCAGCGTGTCCCAGAGCTACTCCGTGGTGACAGGTACAAGCCCTCACACATGCGGACATACAAGAGCACAGCAGGGCGCAGACATCTGCAGCCGAGTGAAGAGATGCTCTCAATGGCACGCTTCCAGAGGCTCATTTTTATGCTTAGATGATGCAGTATGGTGGCAGCAGATTGTATGCCTGCTCTGGGATCGGTGGTTGTCAAGATGTAGCATGAGCAAAGTTTGTAATTAAATACATAACCCTAAACTTATTACTGGATTGGGGGCAACTGGAAAGAAAGGAAGATTTGGATTAGGCTCAGATTATCACAAAGTATGAAAGATCAAAAGGATATTGGTAAGTGATAGACCTGGATATGTGCATGTGATATCAAAGCCCGGTTTAAAGACATTTACTTTTGCATTATAGCAGAATTGTATCAAAACGAATCGATTTGACGGAAATATTGACTCTATGATGCCTCACAAATGCTATCACAGTACAAAAAAACCTAATAAAAGTATGTGCTTATTTAAAAGTTAGGAAAAATATAGTCCAGTACTTTAATTTACTTGAACTGATAATATGGTTTGACCGGTTATACATGGAACAAACAATATGATGGTGAAAAGGTCCATTGTTGTGTATGCAATTTCAGTAGAAGTCTTTGTACATTCCAAGTGTTAACTATACCCTTCCATATTTAGTATACAACACCACATATATTGTCTTTTTTGTGACTGTGAAAACACCTCAAAATGATTTCTAACTCATTATACCAAAAGCTACGGTCTCACATGTATTCAAGGTGCACTTCGACACCACATAAAGTCAACGCACATTTTGTAATATTAGGTTGTAGGGCACGTTACCATTGTGTCTAACAAACTTGTCATATCAATATAGCACTGCATACATTGTATCAGCTACTACACACAACGAATCTGGAGTGACGCTTATTGCTAGTTTACTAATACAAATATGTGTCTATTTCTATATGCAGTATATGTGTGTGTGGTCTGACTGATCTCATCTAGGATCTCTGCTTGGTCCACAGAAGATAAGCAATGAATCGAGTGTGACTAGAATTCTTCCCACTGTATTGCTATGAACTTACATGTATTTCAGTTTTGAGAAATCCTAACAAAAAGACCACAACATGACAGCGCGTTAGTCCTTGCAGAACATCTCGCTGTCACATTTTCCGTGGGCATTATCCTCCAAATTCCCAAAAGACTCATCAAAACAGCGTCCGACCAAATGAAAACCTCTTCCAAGTCACTTTGTGTTTATTTCTGAGGGGACCCGGGGAGAGGCCATATATCATGAGAGCCCATTAAACGCTACAGGCTCTTCACACTGCACACTGCTCCTAACTGGCTATTGTGTTAGCCCGAATTGGCCCGCTAACAGATTGACTGGGAGCACTTCTCGTAAGCGACAGCTGCTGTTCTCGCCGTGACACCGCGTTGTCATCAAAGCCCATGATAGTCCGCTGATTGACACGGGCTGCAATAGCGCACTAGTCTGGCTGGCTGCCTCAACTCAGAAAGACGTAGATAGAAAGGGAGGAAAAAATGGACTTTTTTGTCCAATTTATGGAATGGAGTTTCAGTTGGTAATAACAGGTACTAAGGGTGTGAGGAAAGAGAAGCTTGTAGCAATGTACGGATACTTTTACTAAACATTACATATGAACAACCATATGAACTAATTTGGTCGGTGGTGTGTTGCTCAACCAACTTGTTGGTATATTCTTATCAGTGTTGTATGGTTTCAATATAATAATATTCATAACAGAAGAAAGAAAAATCAGGCAGTTTTATGAAGTCTTGGGAAGTTTTTTTTATTTAGTCTTCCTTTTGAACAGATAACTAAATTGTTTACGTTAAGTCATTAAATGTGTAAATATCTGTAATCATATGTGATCTCGGGGTCCTGGTCAAGTTTATTTGCAATTTGTGTTGGTCCCTACACTTTGGTATTTTTGTGCAGGGCTCTCAATGCAAGCTATCATATAAATAGATTAGAAAATGCATTCACAAAGTTTTGCAGATGCAGAAGACACATTCAATGGGGTGAACAGATAAAAAGTAAAATCAAACAGAAGTCACCGCCCCCTTTCAAGTCGATCCTCTGACTTATTAATTAGTTGTCTGTTGTCATTGCTCATGACTAGTAGAAGTAGATCACCGAAAAATTTTTTGTTATGTGAGTCATTATGTGAAAGAAAAAATAGTTAGGATACAGCTGTTTTAAAGGTTTACCAGTGCCTTGCCTTCTTTTAGTCGACTGCATCTTCCCTTTAGTCGACTGAGAGTTCCCTTTGCCGACTACAACCCCAGCAGGTGCAGCGTATTGAGTATCGCCCAGTGTCTGTATCACATATCTGGTTGTAGTTGGCTTTTGGTGCGCTGTCAGGCTTGATGGCAGCCTTGTTAATTGAAATATTGCTTCATTGTAGCATGCGACGCGGCTTTCTTTTTTCCCAAGGGAGGTTAGGTTTACTGGTGGTCACGGAATAATAATATGCCCGGCTTTTAATGAAAACTCCCATAATTATGCTCCGGCTATCAAAGTGAATGAGTCTACTATGTGTGTGTGTGTGTGTGTGTGTGCAAGGGAGAGAAAGGAGGAGGTGCGTGATTGAAAAAGTGCAGTGGTCAAATGATCCCTATGGTTTGGTGCTATGGGAAAAGAATGGGGCCCTTTTAAGTGCGGGGTATGTGGGAGGTAGATTTGCCTCAGAAAGTCGGGCCTCAGGAGAAGAAAGGTGTGTTTTTGTCTTTGACTCCTCCCACCAGAGCAGGTCTCGGTCCAGGGAGCACACTCATAGCAGGTGGCCTCCGAGCAGCCACCTGGGGGCCAAGCAAGGGGCCCACCCTCCTCGAGTGATACTCCATGGACCCGCGGATACGAGGGGGTGCGCACAGAGAGGTTATGACAACAAACTCTTGTGGTGTTGTGCAAAATGAGGAGATGGATTGTGAGGTTGAGTGAAGTAGGTCGTGATGGGTGTCTGTGCCACCCAGGGAATGGGATTGTGTTGTAGGCTGGTGCTGGACTATGTTTAGAATTGGGATGTTTTGGTATGTGGCTCGTTATTTGTGTTCATAACAGTGTACATACAAACAAACAAACAAGTTCCCTAAATACACCAACAGATCTGTATACAATATGCAAATGCTTTTCATAACTAATAGCACGTGGAAACTAGACTAATCTGCCCAATGTTGGAGTGTATGGTTTGATATTTCAATAATATCTAGTCTATTCATATTTAGCAGATTTCAAGTTACAGATACAAATAATCTAATTTACACATTTGATATATGAAAAAATATGATCAAAATTTGATAATATTTTTGCTCAACACAACAATATTATTACTAACAGTTTTTTATGAATGCAGGTCCTTTTATCTTATCTACATTTAATGCAGTTTAAACAAGATCTAATCAATTGCAAGAGGAGGCTAATTTTCATATACTGTATAAAGAACAATTTTGCATTTTCAATAAATAGCAATCAAACACATGAAGTCTAAAGATTGAAATCCACCAAAAAAATCTAAATTAAAAAACTGTCTAACCATCTTTCAAAACGTGTCCAAGAATCATAAATTAGGCCAATATCATTTCCCCACTAAACTTTTACGATCTCATTTGATGTAGAATAACTCATAAGGAATTTCATTGTGGCACTGCATAATAGGACTTTTCTGCCATTAAGCCAACCCTGTAAATAGGATTGTGCGCCAAGTTTGAAAAAAAAAAAAAACACACCAAATTATCTCCTTCACTTAGGCTGCCATCCAATTATCAATAAATTATGCTCTCATATCGAAGGGAGCAATGCGATTATATTCAGTCTTGAAATGTTTTCTGCTCCCAATTAAAATTCATACAGTTATTGATCTTGTTGATTTTTATGCAGGAGAATTTGCATAATCTATTAAAGACGAATGATTAATGAAGTACTTTGCTTTCGAGGGCGCAGTGGCAGTGGCAAAATGATATGTTTGCTGGTAATGCGATGATACCGTTACCTAGGAACCGGGGTGGCAACACTGGCACCAAAATGCAGCAATAGCGACTAGAGAGAGAACTTGGCATTTACAAATGGCTCCACACTACAGCAGACAATAGCACGAGAGCAATAAAAATACATTAATGAAGCCGTTTAGTGAGCAGACAACGCGCAATATTTCTTTATGCGTTACCATTTGTTTTACCCCCTAAAGAGGAGTGCGGCAAACTTAGCTTTCTCACAATGGTGCTGATTATAGTAAATTGTTCAGTGTAAGTTTTAAGAGGGAACAAGTCTTTTGCAGTAAAAGTGGCAATTGGAGGCAGAGGCTAGAATTATGCTTTTTCTGGTAACTCTGAGCGTCTAAGCAACAGCTAAAACAAAATTAAAAGCCTTGACAACTATGCAAATTTGCGTAGGCGAGACAAAAAAGTCAAATGCAAATTTAGAATCCTTGAAGTAAGAAAAATACATTGGAACACATTAAGTCCATCCAAGTGTTGGTGTATAATTGTTCAGTTGAAGGAAAAGAAGGTTCTAATGATAGTGTTTGGGCAGAGGGTCAACTTTGAAAACTCTTTACCCTTCGAACCCTTTGCTAAGGATCCAATCTCTTGCATTCAAAATAGTTAATATTTTGATTATTATAATTATAGTAAATAACTAATTGTTTCCATTAATAGAGTACATGAGTTACGAATGGATGGATGACTGTGTATTTTTTAATTGGACGTAATAGGTAAACATTTTTTTTATTAAACGATATTTTGGTATTTGCTTTGTTACCAACAATTAATTTCACTTGATGTATTTTTAATCTGCAGCTGGCTTTGATTGCATGCTACAGTGAGAGGGCGGGGCTTATTAATTTCGACCAGAAAGTCAACAAGCCTCTTAACCCTTGTATTATGTTGAAAAATAATGACATTGATTATGTTGCGGGTCATTTTGACCCATACTGTGTAAATGCACTCAAAACAGTCAAGAAAACAGGTTAAACCAATAACAACTTTATTTTAGGTTATATAAATATTTAGAAAAGTGACATACAATGCATTTTTCATTCCAACGCTATATTTAAGAAATATTTAGTCTAATCTTCTTGTCCGCCTCTCGGGTCAAAATGACAATTCTTTCCTCCTGCCATACTTTCTCCTTCCTTTTTCTCATTCTGTTTTCCTTCTCTCTGTTCATCCTCATCTATTCCCTTCTTTTCTCTTCCTTTCTCCCTTCTTTCCTTCCTACCTTCCATCCGTCCTCCCTTCCTCTTTCCTTGACCAAAGATTCGTCCTCTGAATCCTCCTTATCGTAGGAAAATTGATAATCTGGATCAGCAATAACATTGTCCTCCGTCTCTGAAAAATCCTTTGTTTCTGAAATCTCTTCCTCTACATCATTATCCCAGTTAAAAATCTGTGATAAAGCCTCCTCAGATGTCATCCTTCTGGAGCTCATTTTTGGTGAGTTTGTCTAAAGCCTAGCGCACATCGACAGAGAAACTGGAGACAACTAGTTGCAAGGCGGCTTTTGGCAACTGAGAGTAGATGATGGAGATGATCAGTTGCCAAAATCGGTCGATGTGAGCGCTCTTACAACTGGAGATAAACAGTCGATCTCCGGGTTCAGTCAGTTGCCCGTGTTCTACTTTTGTCCTCAGATCCGGAGATATCACCCGATGTGCGCGCTCCAACAACATGTGTGTATTGCGTGTATTGCGCCCTCTACAGTTTATGTCAGAAAACACACTGTAGTTGAGGCCAGTTGCTGTCAATGTACCCGCTGTTATTCCCGAGACTGGCCTGCTACTAGGAGTTGCCCGTTTTTGCCAGATTTTTTATGTGTGCGGGGCAGCAACTCAAAGGCGACGGATACAGTATAATCAGTTGCCAGTCCGATGTACGTTAGGCAAAAGAGATGACATAAGAACAGTGACAAGGACAAGTGTGAGAAAGTTCCCTCTCTTCACACACCTGGCTCTGGGTCTCAGAGGCAATCAAAATACAATGTCAAAGAAACATGTTTTTTTGGATCTGAACAACAATTTACCCACATTGAAGCGTCTGGGTCAAAATGACCCGCAACATCATCTTTGTATACAAACTCTGCACAGACATTCCACTACACATCAAAGTGCCCAGATTTTACACACCAGTATATGACCCTAGATGAGGAAAAGTCACCAAATTTCAGCAAGAAAAAGAAAGGATAACCAGTACTTTGATCAACTCAAAAACTGAAATGGGTCAAATTGACCCTTAACATAATACAAGGGTTAAACCATTTTATTTTTATTTTTATCAATATTGTGCCATACAATAAACAACATACATATAATAACCCTATGCAGCTTCATTCCCCCACTCCCAAACAAACACAATATATCTCCTTTAATGTGCACATATTTGAATTTACAATAGCATTAGGGTTGGCCTTTCTAACTGACCAACTGACCCACTTCCGCACAAATACCTCCTCTAACCGCATCAGTAGCACATCTCATTCTCAGCTCAAACCATAACATTAGCCCTTTCCCTGTGCTCTCTCCTGGGCCTCTGCAGCATCCTAACCCTGCAGTGCCGGCTTGCTGTGAGGCCTGGTGACAAACGGCTTGTCTCAGCTCTGTTAACGCCGGCAGCCTCCAGCTCGGAAATTAATGTTTATATCACCCCCCACAATAGCACACTAACCTTTGAGCACACATTTGATAATGAATGGCTTTAAACCTGCGCATGGGGGGTTAGCCGCGGTGGTGGCAGCATTGTGAGATTTGAGCAATTTGGACCGCACAAATATTCTTTACCGACTCGCAATTCCACGCGGCGTGATTGTTCTTTTGTTCCCCTTCCCGTTGTAAGTGGTTATAAATTACCCCTCCGACGATGCAGAAGGGGGGTAGAGACAGAGATTTAACCGGGCCGCACTTGTAACAAACGCCAATGTGTCCCTGCCAGGGTAAAATGAATTCCCCATAGATTCCGGTGATGACTTTGCCCTAGCTGCACAAGAGGAGAAAAGTTCACAACAAATTGAATGGCAGCCCTGCAAAACAAGACAGTAGCTTAGTACCTTAAGAGCTTTATGTTGACTGTGAAGATGGCTCTGTATCTGTAAAGCTTTTTCCATAATATAAGGATAAGAATGAACAATCCTTGGTGGTATTAGTTCACTCTGTATCCACAACTATCATGGGCACACAAGCAAACACACTAATCAAGCTCCCAAATGTTTTTTCTATCTGATTATAGAGCATTTTATATTCCACAAAAGAGAAAGTATGAGGCTAATATCACTTTGACTTCTGAATGTGGAGTACTCTGTGTGGTGAGACGGTCTAGGATGCTCACATTGTGTAAACATGTGAGCTGCAGGGCCTTGAAGTGTCTTGGCAAATGGATCAGCGTTGATGCTATAAGTTGTCTAACAATGGCAAATGAACATGGTAAATACAGTCCTACAGTATGTTGACATATTGAGCTGGCAGAATTCATGATAAAGCAGATTGTGACTATCCTTGCTGGGAAACATTGATACATTTGTCCAACCAGTTTCCACTAAAGCAAAATGATTTCTTGACAATTGTTGAAGTTGACTGCCCTTGAGAGCGTATAGCTTTGAGCAAAGTTCCCTGTAAATTGAATAGCACCGCCGCAAAACAAGACAGCGTTGCCGACAGGAGTTTACCAAGATTCCTCGGTGTACGTTTAGAAGCAAAATGCTCACTGGAGAAAAGGGTGATGTAGCTATATCCGTTGGCATCAGTCAGGAGGACGCTGTAGGTTGCTAACAGTCCATTTCTATGCTTGATGGGATCTGTAGACATGGTATCCACGCTGGAGACAGATGTTTTGAGAAGTCTATAGCGCCTCACACTCTTGGCGAGATATGTTTGCCGAAGGAGGAGAGTCCCCAAGGACCTTGAGTTTATCTTTCATCTCCATCATCAGGGCCTGGCTGATCTGACAGGCTCCCTTTAGCCGCACTCCAGCCTCACTGCCGTCTCTGGGACAATAAGCAGCACCATGTCTGATTAGTTTCAGAGTTCAGTGGGCTTGAACGTTGCAGCGTTGGTATCGGTTGTTGTTGTTGTGTTGTTCCAGACACCCCCACCCCCGCCCCCTCCATCCCTGAATGTTTGACAACGGTAGCTGAGGCGATGGGAAAACAGAGGAGTACAGTAACCAGGCAGGTGCACATAGACTTTTAAAGTTGAGGTCAATGTTGTAGAGTCTGTTGCTTGTGGTGATGTTGACAAGTGGAATATTAAAGTGAAAGTAGAATAGATAGTAGACCATATAATGTAAAAAAGTGTTCATATTGTCTTTTGACTCAAGAAAGATGTACAAACACACATAGATAACAGTGAAAGATTCAATAATTAGCACACACAGTGGAAAGTCATGTTCAAACGATTGCCATGTCTTGTTGATATCATACAAAGTTATAAGTTTAAGTGTAGTCAAAGGATATTCAGTATTTTAGTGCCCAATCTTAATCTAAATGTACTTTAACTGCTCCCAGTGACAGGAAAAAAGCTTTCCTGAGAAACGCCGAGGTCTCTCTGGGAAAGCAGGGACTTCCATGTACCATAGCAGGAGGTCCATAGGGCAGACAGGGGAGCACCCCCATCTATAGAGCTGGCTTTATCTTAATGAGAAATTGCAACACACAGTGCTGTTGTAAAACAACAATGATGAGGGAAGCAGCTAATGAGGCTATCATGGTGTCGGGAAAGAGCCATCTCTCCCCATAGGGCCCCACGACCCCTCGTGCACAGGCCGCACAGAGCTGGCATTGACTGCTCAGGTTGGACATTCACACAGGCTAAAATGAGAGATGCCAGCACTCATCAGCAGAATTAGATCACAGCACGGCGTTCTGAAGTGTCTGCGGGACAATTGTTCGCCTATTTGTGGGAGTGATCTTGTTGTGAGAAAGCAGCCGTGAGATGATGTTGTTTGTTTTCCAAAACCTTGGGGAAATTCTTTATGCGTTTGAGCTTGATTGATCAGGCGCGATGTGTTGCTGCAACATTTCACCGGTGTACGTTTCCACTTATTCGAATGAGTTACTGCGGGCTGCATATGAGATTATTATTACGAGCTATGTAAACGAACAAATCAACTGTGTATCTGTTTAGAATGCGTATACAATACATGCGGCACTTGCTATAGTTAAGAGCATAAAACTTCCGGCGAACAACTTCTACAACTCCATGAAAGATAGTGCAATGCTTTCCCTTAATTTCACACCAAGGGCCTGGGGCTAGCCTTAATTCATGTCACAAATCTGCAAAGCATTTGGTGCCCGTCTCCGGCTGATTTATTGCGCCGTAGTGTGTACTCAGCTCTGTGCCTGACGAATGTGCAAACTTTCTTTTTCTCTGGCGGCCGCGGGAGATTTGTCAGCGCGCAGTCTCTCCCTCTTGACCATTTGCTCCCATTCATCTCATCTCATCTGAGTAAATGACTGAGCGGACCGTGATTGAGTGCATGTCTACATCACTTTTTCTTTTTTTTCCCTTTTTGTTTTTGTTCTTTCCTATGGACTTCCAGACCCTCACCCATCCCGCACGTCCTCTTCCCGGTGTGCAAAGCGCGAGCCTCATGAAGCGTCCTTTGCCCCCTACACCCCCTCCACGCTGGGGGAAATGGCCCTAGCTGACGTCATGCCCCAGCAGTCCAGCCTGTGTGTAGAAGCCCGTACTCCCAGCTACCATGGTTCCTGCTACAGCCAGTATGCCAGCCAGCACTTTATAGCAGGTACTACCCCAAATCAGGCCCCTTAATCTATTATGCTTCTATGTATAATGCAAAACTAACAAAATGTATTATAATAAAGGCTTCAGGTTAAAACCAAATTTGTACATTCTGATGATAATATATTGTTATCTGCAATTGACATCATTGACTCATGTAGGCTGTGATCTGCAATCAGTAAGGCAAATCAAAGTTACAACATGTTTGGTCAGGTTCACTTTAGGGCTGTTATAGAACTAACTGTGTCTTGTCGGTTGTTGAAATTAATCGAATCAAGTTTTTTTTTTTTTTATAAAACAACATTTTGGGACTATATGGACTCCATAATACATGCCAGAAGAAAATTAAGAATCCTTCACAAATCACGTTTATATAGTCAAACAATTCTTTGTACTATTCGACTAATCAACAAAGATTATTGCCCGTAGCTTTAGCAATGACTGACTGATCACTCAAATCAAACTATTTTCCATTCTTCGTTACATTCTCTTCATTCTATACACCTCATCATTGACAATCTTTCATTTCCAGGCACACACAGGATTGCCCAGAGCTGTGCCGGCCTCGTGACCAATGGTCCGAGGTGTGGGGGCTCCGTTGGCTCGGCGCACACAGTCCTTATAGGGTCTGGCACAAGCGGCCCAGTCCTGGGTGCCCCTCCAGTCCCAGCCAGGCCAGAGCTGTCACTGTTAATTAGAGAGCTGAATGAGGAGCGCGGGGCATAGAGGTCCTCTCATAGTCCTGATGTTCCTGTCAGGACTTAAGAATAGAACAGTGATTGTGACACGGGTGTAAGGTTTAAACACGTGTAGTTGGCCAGTGGTCTGCTGAAGCAATTCTTGGGCTTACTTTGTGCATTGATTTGTTGAGATGAAACGCTATTCACATGTTCAGGGACAGCAAATTATTACAATACAGCAATCGTCTTTCTGCTGTGATCCTTATGTAACGATGTGAAAGTTCGACCTCGACACAATTCAAGACAGCATCATCCAATATATTTGAGATAGCATAACAGTAGGACAACATACAGACTTCAAAACTGTGATAAATGTGTCCTATTGTTGTTTGTAAATAGCTGGGCTGACTTTGACACCAGTTTCTATATTACTAAAGTCTATGTTGAGCAAACTTTCAGCAATATGTCCTAAGATAAAACACACAAAGTAACCACATTCGTCTGATTGGTTTGTATGTTTGCTGTTGGTGTTATAGAGGAAATGATTGTTCAGTTTTTTTCTAATTCCCAATGCTCTAAACAATGTGCTTGCTAAGTTTGCAGATCCCTCTAAGTTTTCCATATTCTCTGTTTCTGCCCAGGTCGTGACATGGCCAGCACAACTTTGCCTGGATACCCTCCCCATGTACCCCCCACGGGACAAGGCAGCTACCCCACCTCCACGCTCGCCGGAATGGTCCCCGGTAGGTGTCCCTTTCTCTTTTTACGATGCCGTTAATTACAGCTTTACCACTTTTATTATCCGCAGAAAGTCCCCTTCAGTTAAAAATCTTAAGCTCAACTGTGCTAAATAAGTCTAGATGAGAGACGCACCTGCTACAAGAAATGGGCAATAATAATAAAAAAATTTGACAGTGTTGCAATAGTTGTTTAGGAGAAAATGTTAACTGCAAAATATGAAATGTATCCCATCAAGCAGACACAGTTTGATTTCTGCACTAGTTTGGCTAGTTTTATGTTTTGTGTAATACTTTACTGAAACATGACTTTCAACGACATGATTTAGCACAATTCTGATGGATTGCCAATGGGGCTTTAACAATTAGTTGGCCAAATGTGAAGTATTAGTGGTAATCCAATTATGATAATTGTTTTATGTCAACTAGATGAGTGAACTGCTTACAAGAAGGGAGACTCTACTATTCAAAATGTTCGATAATGCATTTGGAAGACATTTATGTGTTAAGTTTTTGGTAAGTTTGAGTGTTTAATATTATCTTAGTCCTGCATAACTAATAATAATCAATATTTTGAATGTTTTTGTGTATATTCCATGAGCTTAAAAGCATATATCATTGTTCATTATGAAAGGTCAAAACATTAAACCTAAATCAGATCAACCCGGAGAGCAGCCCAATCATACCAAGGGACGATATGAAGTTTCAAGTTTCAAAAGTAGTCAACCGATCCAGGTTTTTACCCTAGATACATTTCGACTCCCAACAGACGACTTAAAGATTTGAAGAAACAAAGATATTAACTAATTGTTTGCATCGTCTACCAATCAAAAAACATATCACTGACTAGTCGACTGATCGCCTTTAACACCAAAATGATCAGAACGTCGGCACCAATGCCTTAAACTAATTTACTTTTGTCTATATCTCCCAGCACAGATGCACAAGGTGAAAAGGAGACAGCACTTTTGGTTTGGCTGCAGCTTCGTTATCCGTGTGGTTAGCGTGCGGTTAGGCGGACATTAGCCCGACTCGATAAGGCGATCACCGCAATCAGTGGCCGTGAGATAGGACAGTTCCTCTCAGTTACACTCCAGCTCCCAGCGCTTATTAGGCCGGCCGTGTCCACATGTCCGCACGTACGCGCCGGCGCACACCCCGTCAATAAACACTGGCTCTTTGGGCCGGTCGGCGCGCCTCCCCGGACACCCAGGGCTGCCCGAGCGTATCTCTTTCCCCTCTACTTAACCCGCAGTTCAGGATCACAGCAAACAGTTAAGGGTCAAAACACAGAGGCGTGGAGGGCCTGTAAATATTTAAATCACTATCTCTCGCCGGGATGAGCTCCGGTTACACCAGGATGCTACAGCTGCTGCCGATGTGAGGAGATGTCACTACCTGAACACAAAAATAAAGGTTGTTAAATTGTGTAGGGACACAGTGCACTGACCTGTGTGTACAAAGGGGACATACTTTTGTTTAACAATCTTGATTTGTCACAGATTGGACATATTTAGACCACATTGAAAGAGTACGGCAACAGTTGCTGGCAGAAATTCACACTCACCATGAATAAGTGTGTTTAAATCAAGAATATAAAAATGTGGAATGCGCACGGTTATTAGCTTTTTGTCATTAAGTCCTATGTAAAACGACAATGCCTGGAGAAGTAAAGTAACGTACCGTAATCAGGTTTAAAAAAGGGAAATGTCCAGAGGTACCTGTTAGTTCAAAACATACAAAATTTTACTTCATCATGCTGGCAGTAATTCTACCACTTAAAGGGACAGTATGTACTATTTTCATTTCAAACATGTGCATCTTTTATATGTGCCACAGATTATTGGTCAGATGTTTGTTACGATCAAGTAGATTATCCTATCAGAGAGCAGAATAAGGCTCTCATTTGGGTTGCCAGTTTGTTAAACTTTTGGTTATTTTTTAAAAGCAAAAGATTTAAATGAAACCAGGTACCAGTCATACACAGCACACTGACTTTGAACCATTCCTAGCTGAACCCCAGCAGGTGGATTGCCATCAGTAACCAGTGCCTAAGCGGTCCATTTGTTAGAGGCAGGAAGATTCTGGCAACAAAAGTTGGATTGTAAATGGCAATAACTTTATTAGACTACTAAGAGTGTATATTAAATACTAATGGTGGAATGCAGTCATTTTATCTGTTTCTATAAACCTACTGATTGTATGATGGAAAAAATCCCATTACTTAGATTTATAGTTTTTTTTTTTAGTTCACGCTACATATTTGATTTCCAATTCATTACATTACACCCACATAGGTATGATTATCAACGTGATTGGATTTAGTTTGATCGAGACATAATCCACGTCCTTAAACTTCTCTACATTTTTTCTTATTTTACGATCGCAGCACAAATGCATTAAACATCTCCTAATTATGAGGACAGAGCTGATAGCAAACAGTCAGGCAGAACGCTAAGCAGCAGTTCTGGTCCGCTCCTGTTGGATCCCCTTTTCATCTGCTGTCCAACGACTTCGATTTACCGTGCGGCCCCCAAACACTGTTAAAGCAAAGGCCATTCTTCAGCGGACCCATATAAAACCTGGCCTTTATAGTCTCGTAAAAGAATGAAACGTGGGCCCACAGCCCTGCGCCTCTTGCTTATTCTAACAGTGCAGGATGGTGGTGAATATACAGTGTTATGAAGATGCTTTTTGTAAAGGAAGTACGGTAACAAGGCATATGGCTGGATTCATATTGGTTTAGCCGTAAAAAAATGCAGATTGTAAGAAGTAAGAAAAAAAAATCACTGCCATTATTCCCTATTATGAGTATAATTGTGTCTCATAACATTTGAGAAAATAAGCCTCCTCAATGGAAGTTAACCCTGTAAGCACTTTTTTGCTTTTCCATTCACTTCTCTTATTGATTTAGTTGTCCTCCATCTCTTATAAAGTTGCAATGTATTTCAGTCCAATATAAATTGTATAGGCCTTGTTCCCAACATCTTTTTCGCAGGAAATGCAATAGTAAAACAAACACAAAGGAGCCATTGGTCTATAGGGAGCGGGATGACCTCTGAAAGTTGATTATTTTCTACATATAGGCCGCACTTGAATATAAGCCGCAGGTTTCATGTTGTAGTGTAACATGTCATCGACAACTGAAAAACAATAAAACAATGGCAAGGCAAGTTTATTTGTATAGCACAATTCATACACAAGGCAACTCAAAGTGCCGAACAAAACAAGAAAGCATTAAAATCATAAATAATCACAGTACATTAAAAAGAAAGATAAAAATATAAAATCCCTCAGTTGTATGCACAGCTGAACAGAACTGTTTTTAACCTGGTTTTAAACTGTCAGAGAGGAGGCCTGTCTCACATCTTCAGGAAGATTGTTCCAGATTTTAACAACAATAACAACAGACAACTGTTAAAGCTGGTCATTATTTGACAATAGCATTTCCACTAAAACTTATTTGCACAATACAATTTGACGTTTACATTTGACCATTGCATAAGATGAATGTAGAATGTAAGGGTTGAAGAAAACTGGTATGATCTTAAGAAATGGACTTTACCCTAATAGTTTTGATTGTGTCTTGCAGGAGGAGATTTTTCCGGAAACCCTTACTCGCATCCGCAGTATACCACATACAATGAAGCATGGCGGTTCAGCAATCCAGCGTTATTAAGTAAGAGGGAATAAATGTCTATGTAGAACTGGATTGCCATTATTATCATGACCAATCCTTTATTTAAGACATTGTAGACATTCCAATTGTAGCTCAGGCCTTTTGATGAAAAAGCCAATAGGAAATGGTTTATTATTCTACAATATTTTAGTTGACAGGCCAAATCAAAAGCAATGTAATGTTTTATAAAATGCCATTTTAAAGTGCCTATGACAGGTTTTTGTGATGTTCTAGTTTTAGAACGTTTTTTAAGTATTTGGTGGGATAAACTAAACTTTTGTTGTGCACCAATCAGGAAGATGCATGTGATTTTTGTTTTTGTTTGTTTTTCAAGACATAACAGAAAGTAAAATCATTAGGTTCTATGATGACATCAAAGGAGACTTAGAAATCCTCCAGAGTTGTGGCAAGAATGTACATAAAACTAATTTTCCTGACATTATAAATACCAATTGAATTAAATTAATGGTAGTGGATAGTACAAAGGGAACATACTGCTGTAGATACATTGGATTTAGGCTAGATTTAATTCAAAACACCTACGGGGAACCGAGTCAGGGGCAGGACAGCTTCATTGCTTAGAGTACAACAAGGAATAACTATTGTGATGTCATCAACTTTCTATCAGGAAGTAGAATTATAAACCTATGAAACAAAAAGCCAAACTCGTATTCAATTTCTCATAATTGAGGCCATCCTGTCAAATGCATTTGAAAGCCTTGTGTTGCTGTGTCTGACTTATTGGATTCATACGGCTCGCTCTTCTGTTAACTTCCAGGTTCCCCTTATTATTATAGTGCCGCATCCCGTGGCTCCGCCCCTCCCACTGCGGCCACTGCCTACGACCGCCACTAGTTACCACGGCGACCAGCGCAAACTGCAGGGCCACAGCTTGGGTCTCCATATTGTCCCCGTCTGAGGTCACAGCGAAGGCAGAGGAGCAGAACGCAGCCCGGGCGCACTGACTGGAGGAAGAAGGAGGAAGAGGAGGAAGAAGGAAGCAGAAATGGTCAAGCGCCTAAATTCACTCTTTGGGTCTAAATTAAACGGTGAACTGAATAGTGATCAGACGTCATTGCGCTCTCAAAAGGCCCGGACATTTCCAAGAATGACTTTTAAGAGATTAAATAAATATATATATTATAAAATATTAATTGAAGACAAACAGTGTGAAGAATACCATGTGGAAAAAATGTTTTGGGTTTTTATTTTTGTTTCTTTGTTGCTGTTGTTGTTGTTATTTTATTCATAGTTCTTCACATTCCTGTACACAGTTAAGCACAGGCTGTATCTGACACTGCTGCTGGGTCGCTACATGTTGCTTTAAGCTAGTTGTGCCACTTTGTAACAACAATCCTACGGAGCACACAATGCTACAAAGACCAAAACTCACAACACTCCAAATTTACTGATAAAAAATATGTTTTAGAATGACCAAACTCCACCTATTAAAGCCATAGCTTGAGTAAAGCTTACGTAAAAATGAAAAGTAAAGTGTTTTCTGCTTCATAATGGATATAATTGACTGATGAATTTCTAGCGTTGCCTTCATTCCAGGTATGCAAAAGATAAGATGTTGTGTTCTGTTTTGTTCACAACTTTTTACTTTTATAAGTCTCTTTCTGTTGAGACAAACAACATGGATAAAAATACTATTGCTTTCCACCTCTTTTAGCACAGCTACATTGTATGCTAAATTTGGCTTTTCCATTTTAATATTATCAGCAGTCTTTCAGGAGCAGAGTACAATAAATATAACATGTATCTAACAATTATTTCACACGTGTTTTGAAGCAGAAATCCAAAAGTTTTAGCAATTACACTTAACTTACTCCAGTGTAACATTAGCTTACTTTAACTAAGTTATTGAGCAGGGCTTTTACAACATGCAGTAGACTTTGGGGCGGTTTCAAATGCAGTCTGGATAATTTTGTGCTCTAATGCGAGAGAAGTCCAAGGGAGATGGTTCCACGGATCAAAGTTGAACCAATATTGTGAATCCCCAACAATAATATATTTCATACATGCCAGCAGTAGCACCTCTGGCACTTTGGCTCCGTCTGCTCTCACACCAACCTGGAAACATCCTCCCTGTGGCAAACAATCACTGTAAAAATGTAAATCATTTTTCAAAAACCACTGTACTTTTTCCAGAGTTTAAATTATTTTTTGTCATGTAAAAATGTCCGAACCGTTTTCTCGTCATTCCATCCATGCATGATTTATTTTGCACTATAACTTCTGTTTTGAAATACATTTGCATACATTTACCTCTTGCTAATTTGGAAAGTGCGTCAGGCTTGATTCAAAACTGGATCTTTTTGGACATAGCATTTCTTAGCTTAAATTCATTCGACAACAAAGTCCTACCACTAGATGCCTACACAGTTAAACAAGCTTATATATTGCCTTACAAACCCAATTTCTTGCCTGTTTAACGATTTCCATCTTTGCCGCCTCCCAACACTTTCTTTTTGTTTGCTATTATTTGTTGTGAATGTACTTTTACTACATTTGCCAAAGACTTAGTTTGATATTTAATATTTTATTTACAGTATATGTATGCATAAATAAAGCAGTATTATCTTTTAAAATACGTAGTCAAACACTGAACTCGGAAAACACCACTTTTTTTTTGACTGTACCGCTAGCGTCACTTATTTACCGTACCATCCGATGCTGCTTTGTAGATTGATTTTGTGAATAATGTGAAGACAATTTCTTTTCTTCCGTGTAAATAATTCCACCACTACGAGATGTACTGGCTCCCTTTGTAGATAAAAGTCACTGAAAAAACATGCATTACTTGTGTCTCAATGTTCTGCGGTCCGTGCGCATGCGTCCGTGCCCGCGCCGACTGTCCATTGTTGTCTATTTCATTTGAATGTCATAATGATGTTTTATGTCACTATGCAATGAGTTTGATGGCTTTCTGTATCATTGTTTGTTGTTGGGCTCAGACAAAATAATCCCCAAGTCTTTTTTAACTTTATTGTGGAGGGATTCGTAAAAGGCGCATTGTGCAAAAGGTTCGCTCTCTGCTCCCGTTTTTCTCTTGTTCAAAACTTGTCCAAATTTACATGAAGTAGGTTGATTTAGGGTTGAAACCGGAGTAGGAATATTTTATTTAAAAGCCATAACAGTAAAGAGACATGAGGTTTTTCGATATATGGCCCATGGTGGAGATCAGGCTGAATGCAATATAATCCAGACCCACAGCATAAAAAAAATAATCTTTTTTTTTGGGTAGGCACTTCTGGATCAATCCTTTTAAGTTGCAATGTTGTTTAAGCCTTTTCAACATAACTATATTATAAGAAAGTGGTGGTGCATTGTTATCAGGGCCTAATGTAACAATGTACAGACAAATAGTTATACTTTACAGAAAAGTTAAAGTTTTGGCAATAGTACTCACAGACCAAATGCATAGAATCTGTTTTCACAATTTTGCAACAACAGCAAAAATCCCTACTCCAGTTTTACCCAATGATCAACGGTAATCTGATCTTCCATGTAAGATTTTTCCCTTCCAGGCCCATTCTCTCTTGTCAATTTCTCCCATTAGCAATTAGCATAACCAAGTCCAAGCTCTGTTCCATACTCGTGATTCCAGGGTTAACCAGTTATCTGTCTGCAGTCGCCTCAAGAAATTTCACCCTCTTCGAAATCCACTTGGGGTTTGCCTATTTCTGTCTACACGCAGCTCGACATGTTGGAAACACAGCGCTCCGCCGTCATTCAGACTGAAAGTGGAGAACCTCCGAAAGAATCCCGCGGTTGTAAAGATGATACAGGAGATGTGTCATGGACGTGAAAAGGATTTCTGATGAAAATCTGTACGGAAAGCCTCATGGCCTCAATCATTGTTCTCTTTTCTGTTCCAATTCCTTTTGTGCACATGAGAAATAAAATCTTTTATATGTCAGTCGTTGACTTTGTGTGCTCTCATTATTAACCCCATAACAACATGATGGAAGGTTCAAGGGTCTGGAGAGAGAGACGAGGGTCCTGGGTGGAGTATTGATTCTTGGTTTTATGAACGAGATGTGCAGGTTATGGTTTTCAAATATGGAAGGCTCCAAAGAGGTTGCTGCTGTGAAGACATAAAATGGAAATGCCTTTTGACAATGTTTTAAGAAGATCAGAAATAAGCAGTGGATAAAAGGGTCCTGTGGAAACGGGCAGTAGGAATAAAGGACGCACATGAACAAGGTCGATGCTGTGAATCAGGGGTGTCAAACCAGTCCTCAAAGGGCCAGAGTGGTTGCAGGATTTCATTCAACGAAGTAGGAGCACAGTAGACACCCTTTGCCCTCAGGTGAGTCCAGTCTTAACCTGAAGACCTGAGGAAATGGGTATAGTGTGGTGTGCTCCTGCTTGGTTGGAATGAAATCCTGCAGTCACACTGGCCCTTTCTGCAACCAGTTTGATCATATTTGATGATCTTTAGGAACTCTTTGTGACTCTGAGAACAAAGGATCTATAGCATTCCAGGATTTTTAGGACTCCTTTTCTATTGAAATAGTGCCACAATATATGATATTACTTTCTACAATGATATGGTTAATTTTAGAAATCCAGTCAAATTACATTTGTACAGGCCAAAATCACAACAGCAGTTTTTAGTTGACTTATACAATTATTGATTTACCAATAGTTAATTAGAACATTCAACAATTAAAACAACAACCGCAGCTGTTCACAGGATTTAAGCAAATGGATAATTTTCCAGATCATTCCCATCCTTCTTCAGCTGGTAAAAAACAAACAATGTAAATAAGATTATCCTGATACTGTTTCTGATTGTTTGTTTTTTGTTTTTGCAACAATGGGAACAAGAACCCCACGGATAGGTATTACACAAGTCCAAAACTGATGCACATCCTTTTGAGTCTCCATAGGCTCATCCAGGGTTGGGAGGGGACACCCAGGGAGTTGGGGGAGGGGGTAACTGGGGCTGCGGTCCACGGGAGAGAATACATCATAAGTGATTTGTCACAGTGTGTGTAAACTTCCATAGCTCCAGCACACAGGTACAGGTGTATAATTTATTCTCAAATGCTACCAGGTACAACTTAACACTTTAGCTAATTATTTAATTAAACCTGAAAGAAATGGGTCAAAATATGCAAATTAAAAGACAAACTTGAAGTGGCCTCTTTATAATCAGGATTTTTGCATAATGAAATGTCACAATCTCTTCAATTTATATTAGTTTTTGAATCAATTTCTATTTCTATGTTCTTCTTGCTATAGCAGGTTTTTTTTTTTTACTTCCTGGGTAGTGCAATATTCCCTATTCTCCTGTCACACTGTGGTGATGAGTTATGATGTAACCCCCCACTCACATACTCTGAACCAACAACCAAGATGTGAAGCCAAGCAGCACAACAGCGGAAGCTGCCACTGAACCACCACATAATCATGAGTGAAGGTATGTCGAGGCTATCACTAGTTCAGAGCAGCAAACACAATAAGGAACAGCAGATTATGTCACTCATGAGTGTGCGAGAGTGTGAGTGTTTGTATCATTTCATTTAAACTAATAGCAGACTGTGGTCGGGCTGATCCAAAATACTGACACTGACTGAAGAATCGGAATCAAGAGCCAAAAATATGGTGTTGTTTAGATAATATAAATGCGTATGTGTATCTTAATCAACTAATCCTCATGAAATCAGTATCAACACATTTTTTGTTTAGAATGTATATAATTCTTCTCAGTTTAAAATTGAATAGAGAAAAAGTAATATGCCCTACAAAGGTGAAAATAAGAATATTGTTCTAAAGTCGATTTGCTTCTGTGATTTAACTTACTATGAAACTATCAATCAATCAATCATTTATTTGTATAG